CCAATATGCGTTTTTGCTGCCTGTTGCAGCGCTCTAGCGCTGCACGGCAAAAACGCATAATAAACTACGCATTTCAAAAAAAAACCAAATGGGCGCAAAACTACATATTCTACTTCAAACCATCGAAAGATCAAGGACCAAAAAATTCACAGTGAAAACGCAGGACGCTAAGGCGTTAAGTTGCATTTTTTTGCCGCGGAAATCGTCATTAGCCAACAGGGGGTAAGGCCATGCAGTAATGACAAATGGAAGTGTTAGCAGAAGCTAAGGATGAGACCGGAGAGGAGGGAAAAAACTTCGATACTGCTAACCTATTATTTGACAATCTTCGTCGTCACTAAACGAAGCTTTTCGCTTCCGTGACTTTTGCAGTGAGTCGGATAAAGTGATGATATCGATAACATTGGATTTGTCATCTGCTGAACTTACGCAAGCCTTTGAGTGTCCAGAACAATACGGCCTAAACAAAAGCGAAAATGGAGTTCACTTTTATGCGTTTTTCAATTATAAACAATATATCGAAGTGGCATATCGCATATGCAACAAAAAAAAGTACCCCCAACCCGAGCATTCAACACGGAATGGTGCTCTCTTGCTACTTTTATTCATCATTTGCTAAAAATCTAAAAATTTTCGAATACGTGCTAGTGTATTTTCTGACTCATCACTTGTGTTTCAGAACAGTTCAATGTTTTGAAGCAATCTGTTGCTTTCTGAACAAAATTTGCGTCTACTCAGCCGGATTTCTGACCCTTCATCCACTTGCAACTTCTTCCATAACGATAAACTGACGCCAAGGAAGAAGCTTTTCCCACTCCAACCCCGTGAAAAATGGATGTAAACATTTAAGGAAAACATGCAAATTTGAGAAGTACCTGAAGTATGACAAATATTTAACAAAATCTTTGTTCAGTTCACTCGCAATGTTCGGATATGCAAAAGCAGGCCTTAACAAACTGAAAGCAGTTTCTACTTCGGAGAGCGACGCATGCCCTGAATAGAGCAAGCGACAAAACCGATCATTCTCATAACCAACGGCACTGAAAAATGAAGACGAAAAGTTTAAAACTGCAACTGTTACAAATAAAGACTTAAAAAAAATCGAGGATTCAAGCTGTTACCGGTGAGATAACCAATCTCATGCCGAAACGAAACACAGCCTATTCGTCCGGCTGGCAATTAATATTGGGACATAGCTGAGACACTGACAACAGTTTGCTTTCAATGAAAATTGGAGAGGCCTCAGGAGCGGGGGTTCTATTTAATGCATGTATAAAACGTTTTATGATGCCTACTTTATTTCATTCCTGCTGGCAAACCATATCGTTGAGGGTCTTATCACACGAACAATTTTGCAATCAGGCCGACAAAGCCAGCATGCCGACATCTGTAAATATCCAAGTATTATAGATTACACTACTTTCGGTGACAAATAAATCCTCCAAGAAGAAATCTGAAGCTTGCCACCTGAAGCTTCTCGACGAGGCGGCCATCTTTCTTCATAACTACACTCTGACCATCCTCGTAAAAGCAATCCTCCTTCCCACTGGGCTTCTCAGTGCATGCGTGTACGCGTGTATCCCGAGCAACCGGTGTTACACAGTCAGCAAGCCAATCAATTTCTGCAAAATTCGAAATATTGCCTTTCAGAAAATATTCCAGCCGATCCAGAAAAATTCCTTTCAAAGTCTAGTCCGAGCGCTAAATCGATATAGAATTTCGATTTAGCGCTCGGACTATGCCTTGAAAGGAGCTTTTCTGGATCGGCTAGAATTTCGGGATATCTTTCTCAAGTTGATCTTTCTCCCGGAACAAAACGCTTTAAAATTATGGTAGCCCAATTTTTCGAAAACAAGCAAAAAGTGTGTGGAAATGAATACCACTGGCAGAAGAGTTCCCAAAGGAATTTGAAGAAAGACCCTCTCCCAAACAAACATTTTTTTCCGAGACAAATGTTTGAACAGCAGAGTGACAATTCCACGATGCCAGTGCGCTGCACTTTAGCGTTTCACTTTGTGCTGCAGGAGCAAAGACATAAAGAGTGAAAGGTAACGCGTCTTGCCCGCAGACAATCTCGAAATATTCAAAATGCCTTTTTAAGCCTCTCTGGGCAATCGATGCAATATGTCTATAATGAAGATGTTACTGATAAACTCTTAAACGCCAGGCGCGGTAAGACAAATTTTTTCGTCTTGATATGAATACCTTTGGCTAGTACTTGTCGCTTCCCCAATTTAGTATATTAACTTTTCAGATGCTGCCCGAGTGGCCGTCTACTCTCTTGCAGGTACATTCGCTAGTAAGTAACATACACCAAGACAAACAAAACACCTGACCCACTGGATTTTACTTTTGCGCATGGTCGAAGTGTTATTGTTCATCTAACGAGAAGTTTGACCGCTTATATGACGGCATAATTAGCAGAACGTAGCTGCAAAATGAAAAAGCTGTAACAGGAAGGTGTTAATGTAAAATAGCATACGCGAATAAATCCGGTATTTTGCCACGGTCACGTGACATTTAATATTCAGCTCGTCCCAAATAGCTTTCAGAAAAAATTCGTGACCGTATCTGCCTGAAAATAATCCAGCTACTGAAGGGAAAAACAATTTTCCACGTCCAAAAACCAAACCTCTCCCATATTTCATTATATACTCGCAAGTAAGTACTGACCGGCGATAAAATATGCATTTACCAAAAAAAAAAAAATGCAAGAGAAACAGAATTGCACAGTTTCATTTAGAATAAAAAAAGCTTCCCTCACTACACATTTTTTGTTACAGGTGATAAAATTGCGATAGGTCACACGTTTATACATGCTCATACAATGAGCAGCAAGTGCCACTAAAGCTTAACCAGTGCGTTCATAATATATGCAATTGCCAGGAGTGTAAAATATATAATCTAAGAACACCAAGACCGCTCGGATTATCAGCGTGGGCATCCCGTGTTAGTGATGTTACTGAAATGCTCCCATAAAGCCGAGCGCAGCTGTGACAGACTCCTCGATTCTGAGCAGTATGCCTTCAGTTAGTAATCACTGCTTGTTCGATGTGTGTGCACCACTCTTCCCGGAGTAGCTCATGTGATCGTTTAGTTTTATGTTTATATAATTAATGTAATATATATGCATATATAGATCTGGGGTACAGGATATAATCGAAGAAATGTACGCCAGAAAAAGAAGTTGGGCTGATCATGTAGCAAGGATGTCAGACAACCGATGGACGAAACGGATAATGGAGTGGTACTCAGGCGCGATGAAACGAACACTGCGGAGGCCCCCAGCACGATGGCGAGATCCAATCGTGCGCCTTTATGGTATCACCTGGTCTCGTCAGGCTCAGGATCGATCGAAATGGAGAAGTTGCCA